TCAAATACGATATTTTCGAAATCATCATCGATGCGAAAATGAGCAAAAAAAATATGAAAGATCGAACGCGTAAACCGAGTTGATAAGTATAATTAAAGAGAAGTATAACTTGAATAAATGGGTCTAGGAGAAAAGGGAACTTTTTTGTCGATTTAGAAACTACTTTACGGTACCGTTCAAGTTGAAATATGGTCGGTACATGTGTATCAAAAATTTAAGTATAAAATAAAAATAGTTGTCATTGTGAATTGGAAAGCAATTAAAAGGATATTATCAAGCTCTCATTAAAGCGAGATTTGCTCTGGTAAACGTTGAGAAATTGATCATTTCATTCATTGACTTACCCCGAATCTTTGAGCTATTTTTATACTTAAAAATCATTTCTTAAATGCTCATCGGATTATACATGACATTCTGAATAATCAACGATGAATTTATATACTTTTTTTAAATTTTATTTCGTATCCCTTCCTTTCTCCTTTTCAACAATATCTTATGACCTTATACTGCAATATTTGTACTTTTCCATGTTAACTCGATATACAATAAATTATATTAATAAACTTTAACACGTTCAACTCGTTTTTCATATGACCCTATCGATATTTAGTTGAATCCTTGTAGTACCCTGTTAAAATGATTTGTTGAATTTATGCATGAAAAAAGTTTATTTTATTTTACAATTCACAGAATTGCAAAAAAGATTCGAGACTCCTTCGAATCAAAGAAATACGTCTCCGCAGTCTTCTTGGATGTTGCCCAGGCTTTCGACCGGGTCTGACATGGTGGACTTCTTTTTAAAATCAAAAGAAGCTTCCCTGACCAGCACTATAGGCTGATTAAGTCATACCTCCACGGGAGAAACTTCCGGGTCAGGATCAATGACGAAAAATCAGAGATCCACCCAATCATCGCGGGGGTACTTCAAGAGAGTATTCTCGGCCCTACGCTGTACCTACTGTACACCGCTGACCTGCCGTCGTCCCCTGGGGTCCTCACAGCGACGTACGCGGACGACACGGCTCTCACGGAGGCCTAAATTGCCTCACAAAAAATTCAAATGCACCTTGATAGGCTGCAGGAGTGGTTTCAAAACTGGAGGATCTGTGTGAATGCGGGAAAGTCCGCCGACATCACCTTCGCCCTCAGAAGAGAGTCGTGTCCTCGGGTGTCACTTTACGGCAGTCCGATTCCGGTAGTGGACCATGTTAAACACCTAGAGCTCTACCTAGACCGCCGGTTTACGTGGAGAACTCATATATGTGCCAAAAGAAAGCAGTTGGGTCTAAAACTGCGCTCGTTGTACTGGCTTATGGGTCGTAGCTCGTCCCTGGCGCTGGAAAACAAGACCTTGATATACAAGTCAATCCTGAGGCCCGTTTGGTTGTACAGATGCCAGCTGTGGGGCAGAGCGGCAAACTCCAGCATCCAGGTGATCGAGAGATTTGAAGCCAAGGTGCTACGCTGCATAGTGGACGCACCGTGGTATGTGCCCAACGAGATGCTCCGCAGAGACCTCGGCATCTCTTTGGTCCGTGAGGAGATCGATGGACTCATCAAGAAATACTCCAACAAATTAGAACAACATTGCAATCCTCTGCCGTCAGTTCTATCCCGCCGACCCATAAGGTCAAGACTCAAAAAAGTACAAAGCCTGTAAACTGGCTATCTTCTGCCCGGCTATCTTAGACAAATATTGCTAATGAATGGCCGATGATCATAGGATCACCTACCTGACTCACGATTCACTTGTTATACTGCGCTCTGTACTATTTACTTATTGTCTTTCTTTTATTTTTTATAGACAGATTGTAAATAAAAAAAAATAATAAAGCTTAAAAAAAAAAATTTTACAATTCATGAAGAATAAATGTAATCATGGAGCAAAAATAAAAAAAAACATAAATTTCGGAGTAATCCAATATGAAAGTCGACAATTGGTAAGAAAAAATTAAAATGAAATAAATTCGAGCACGCTTTTAAGGAGGCTGTAGCGAAATTGAAAAAATCTTTCGACCGGAGTGAAATTTTAACCACTGATAGTTCATGAAATTACAAGATTCTTGGTAAAAAAAAATTGGGGGTTTCCATGCAAATTTGGGAAATAATGAAATTCAAAGTTCAGGCCATTTAACATTGAATCAGATGGAAAGTGGCAGTTTTAGTGTACTGTGAGCTCAAATCTCTTTACAAGTTAATGAAATTAACATATGTTATAGGAAATTTCATTAGCTTTCGAATGATATAATTATAAATGGGTGTTTCCAGGCAAATAAAAAAGATATTAAGAGTCCAACACTTTTTCCCTATGTTCTGCCATGCTAACGCTGTGCGCTGCGTAACCTTGCGCATGTAGCGCTTTAATACAGAACCACCTTGCATCGCTACAGTCTCCTTAATTATAAAGTCTGAAGAAAAAGAGGAACAATTTTTCATTTTAGTTGGTCTGGAAATAGTTTATAAACATAAATAATACTAACTTCAAAACAGCCAAATTATAGTTCAAGAAATCAATTTTAGTCCTTGAAAGAGTTTTCTGCCGATCTCAATAGTTTTCTACTTATGATAATGATGATGTAAAAACGTAAGTGACATATTCTATTGTTTGAAATAAAATTCAAACTGATACTAAAATATGTGAGTCGATTGCATCATGGCTCAAAATGAGAAAATAAAAAATTCGACCCTCGAGACAGCACCTAGACTTTGATGGCTGATCTATACTTGAGTGTGGTGTTCAAAATATATTTGTCATATACCATAAATATCTAGCTTCGATAAACTCATTTCAAAACATCATAAATGTGACTTTGTATTGGGCGATAAACGTTTTACAAATAAGAGAGCTGCGTCCGCAGTAACGATTTCCCTGTTGTATCGTCTTAACGAGTAAAATCAATACGCAACTACATTTAAGGGTGATCTATCTTAGGGCAGCTATAAATAATTCTTACCGATACGATTTTGATAATAAACACTTATATCCTATGATTGAAAATTAAAAAGGTCACCGTCTACATTTCCGAGGTATCGAAAGGAAGAAATTATTTGACTTCTCGCGAAAAACGTGAAGAACTAGGTCGAAATTTTCAGTCGAGAAACCATTGCTCGTGCGAGTAAAGTCAGGTCAATCTGCATCGTCCAAGAGCTTTTCGAAATATACAATAAGTTTGACGTCAATTTAACTGACAAGCCAAGCTTCATACATTTTCAAACGGCCTATAAATTTGGACTTGACGTCACCATTGATTAATTCCTCGAGCTCGGACAGGATCCCAATTGTCTCTGATACATAACAGGTAATTTTTCCAGCTTTAAACATTGGATTCTTTCTTAGAGTTGACGCACAGATTAGTTGCCGATTTTCTTTTGTAAAATTATCATCAATCGGCTGATGAACGAAGATGTCTTTTGTTATGGCTTTTTGTAAACATTATTTAGTTACTGAAAAATTTTCATCGATTAAAAAAAGCTGCAACAAAGCACGCGCAAAATACATACATCACAAGTGAAAGTAAAAATATTCCTATTCACAATCAATAACTTAATTTCAAATTTTTTATTTCTATAATTTATATTTATAGTTATATTATCATATATTTATTAATATTATCATATATTTATATATATATTATCATATGTAAAAAGATCGAAAATTAATTAGACTTTGGAGGGAACTGAATAAGCACGGAAAACTCGAGAGTTGCCAAATTTTTATTTATACCTCAAAAGCCCTCATCTAAACCCGTCGCATTGTAGGCGGTCGTATCATTGAAAAACACAATAAAGTAACTTTTCAAGTTTCTTACAGATAGGTGCGCTTTCGCGCTTGATTCGATGAAAGAGTAAGGAACTATAAAAAGTATGACTCATCGATATTCCAATCTTACGATTCGAAAATAAAATAATTAATAAAATAATTAATTTGCAGTTAACTAGACTAAAGGCGTAAAAGTAGCATAATGACTTGAGAAACATTTTTCCGTCCTTACTCAGTTAGGCACCGTCTATTATCACGTTTATGAAATATAAGTAAAAGAAATACTTATGGTATTTAAATAACGTCATAAATCCCTAATATTTGACTAAGATTATTTTATTTTTCGTAATATATCACTATGTTTTTTTTTTATTATTTTATATCGCTTATCCTGTACAATAGTAACAAGATTGATTAAAAAACACAGAAAAATTTTTTAATTTAACAATTTGAAACACGAAAAGTTACGAACGAGTAAGTTGTCATCATAAATTATAAGCTATAACTTCGGTATTTTTGCATACTTAGACCGAGGTCGTGAAAGCAGCTATAATATGGAAATGACTGCATAAAGTTCTAAAGAGCTGACATTTTTGGCACCTAACAATAAATTTTTCAAAAATTTGGCAACTTATTCTCAGCCAATTAGTACGACGTTAAAGTTAAATTAAATGTTTGGACAGGATAATGTAAATCAGTCACGCATCGAATGCATTATTACCGTATTTTGGAGCTTTCAATAATTCATAAGAAGATCATCATACTTTGTTTTTAAAAAGTTTTTTCCAGAATGTTTACTGCATTGATCTTCAATAGTTCAAACACTATTAATAGCGATAATTAAACAAAAGTGTTTGAAAATGTTAACATTGTCTGTAGTCTTAGGATTTTCTGAACGATGATCGCTTTTCATATTGACAGAACACGTTATGTGCAAAATAATATCATGGTAAAGAGAGAATTGAATGTTAATTCTATGTTATTACAAAATATAAAACAAGGCTGCTTAGAATAAGGTACAATTAAAAAAAATTTGAAAAAATAGTTTATAAAAAAAATCTCATTTCACGTTCTAAACAATCTGAGAAGATTATGATACTTTTCTTTTGCACCTCGAAGTATACAGTTTGACGATAGTTCAGCTAAACAGGTTTATAATATATTGGATTCTTTTGCTTACGCCCACCGACTATTTTAGTTGAAGATTTTGCTCGCAAACACGTGCTTTCTAGTTGCTTAAAAAGCACTTTTGCCCAGTTTTACCAGGTCATCTTTTCAGTACGGCACAACTCTTTGCATACTCACTCGAGAGATAGAAATAAACGTCTCGTTGGGTGTCCTGTTAATAGCTGAACCCGTACCTGCTTTACACGCATCTATTCGATCATGGTGAGTAGAAATAAAATCATAAACTTGGAATTAATTAAATGAAAGATCTAATTTACCCTTGTATCGACATAAACATAAAAATTACCCCATTGTTAGACTTTTCATTGATCAAGTTTATCTATCTTGTGGATAAGTTGTGGTGTACATAACACAAATAGATATGTAAATATTTGTAGGAAGAAGACGAGCAAAAACTCGCTGTAATGCGTAAAGCTTTCCAAATGTTCGACACGACGAAGAGTGGCTTCATCGACACGCTCAAAATTTCCATTCTCCTCAACACGATGGGTCAATTGTTCGACGACGCCGAGCTTCACGCAGCTATCGAGGAAAACGACCCCGACGGCTTGGGCAAAGTAAACTTTGATGGCTTTTGCCGCATAGCCGGTCGCTTCCTCGAGGAGGAGGACTCCGAGGCCATGCAAGAGGAGCTCAAGGAAGCTTTCCGATTGTACGATCGCGAGGGCAACGGTTACATAACAACAGCCACCCTCAAAGAGATTCTTGCGGCCCTCGACGACAAGCTCACCAATACTGATCTCGACGGCATCATTGCGGAAATCGATACCGATGGCTCTGGTACCGTCGATTTCGATGGTTGGTGCTTTACTAAGTCTTAATTTTATTTTATTCAAGAGTGATTAATTTACAAAATTAAAAACTATTTAATCTTGTTAGAGTAAAAAAATTTTAAATTCGTTTTAAACAAATTTACTTGATTTTGTTGATGATATGCGCATTTCATGCGTACTGTGACACATTAAAAATATTGAAAAAAAATTGAAAAAAAATTTCGGAATTTTTAGTTTAAAAAAAGGTGTAGGGTTTTCTACTTTAAAAAGGATGAAACCACATCCAAAAACTATTAATGAAACATTAATTTTGTACATAATACCAAAATTTTCTGTTACAGAATTCATGGAAATGATGACAGGAGAATGATTATTTCTATCTTACATTATGTGTTTGTCATTCATTACTCTGGCTTGAACCGATTCGTGGTTAAAGGATATTTTAACTTCATTACCAGACTTCAAAGTGTAATAACTGTTCAAATTGTGTGATATAACTCAAATACATTTATTAATAAAGATACATATGGGTCAAAATAATACTTTTTTACAAAACCGTGCGCACGTATGTCACCGATCTTGACGCGCTTTTGGTATGTTATAGTACATGGTAAAAAGGTCCCAAAAAAAAATTTTTAGACCCCCTCCCCCCTCCTACCCCCCACTTCCGGTATAAACGTCCATTTTCGATCTATATTTTTTCTGAGGACATGAAGCAAGTAAAAAATCTGAAAAAATTCATAAAAATACTTTTCCACAATCCAAACAACCTTGAATTTTTTCAGATTTTTTGAGTGCTTCAGGCCTTCAGATAAAATCATTGAAAATTTCAAAAATCGAGATACGGCGGTATGAGCCGATGTAGTACTCGGAAATTTTTTCAGTTATTTTTCGCATTAAAAAACATAACCTCAATTTTTTTCAGATTTTTTCAGATTACCTAACGCACCTTTTGAAGCCAAAAACCGATTTTTTTGACGAAAATAATTTTTTTAGGACAGTACGGAGCCTCGAAAAATCTGAAAAAAATTTTTTCTTGTTTTTTTCATCAAAATACGTAATCTCAAATTTTTTCAGATTTTTTAATTGAAGGCGATAGCTTCTAGGGCCGAAAAATGCTATTTTTAACAAAAAATGGTTCCTAGAACCCGATGGTTCCGGTGAAAAAATTTGAAAATATTTTTTTTGAATTCCTTGTCAAATTTTAATAAATTTTGACCGTTTCAAAAGTTCGATTGAAGCTTCCTAGCTCATTTTAGAGCAGGACAAAGATTAGTGCAAAATATCTGAAGACGTTTCTGAAGACATTAAGGAATGATAAAACTCGTTTGATGCTCTAAAATGAGCTAGGAAGCTTCAATCGAACTTTTGAAACGGTCAAAATTTATTAAAATTTGACAAGGAATTCAAAAAAAATATTTTCAAATTTTTTCACCGGAACCATCGGGTTCTAGGAACCATTTTTTGTTAAAAATAGCATTTTTCGGCCCTAGAAGCTATCGCCTTCAATTAAAAAATCTGAAAAAATTTGAGATTACGTATTTTGATGAAAAAAACAAGAAAAAATTTTTTTCAGATTTTTCGAGGCTCCGTACTGTCCTAAAAAAATTATTTTCGTCAAAAAAATCGGTTTTTGGCTTCAAAAGGTGCGTTAGGTAATCTGAAAAAATCTGAAAAAAATTGAGGTTATGTTTTTTAATGCGAAAAATAACTGAAAAAATTTCCGAGTACTACATCGGCTCATACCGCCGTATCTCGATTTTTGAAATTTTCAATGATTTTATCTGAAGGCCTGAAGCACTCAAAAAATCTGAAAAAATTCAAGGTTGTTTGGATTGTGGAAAAGTATTTTTATGAATTTTTTCAGATTTTTTACTTGCTTCATGTCCTCAGAAAAAATATAGATCGAAAATGGACGTTTATACCGGAAGTGGGGGGTAGGAGGGGGGAGGGGGTCTAAAAATTTTTTTTTGGGACCTTTTTACCATGTACTATAACATACCAAAAGCGCGTCAAGATCGGTGACATACGTGCGCACGGTTTTGTAAAAAAGTATTATTTTGACCCATATATTTATGTACTGTATAAAAGTCAAATATTTAATATAAGATGTTATTTTTCTATTTAAAAAATTTTGATCTAATTTACTTGTTGTAATTGTTGAGAAATTTTTGTTTAATCGAATCTGCGACAAAAAATCTAAACTCTAGAATTGAATTTTTAGGGAATCGGTTGTGGTACTGTGTTCTATAAAATTAGCAGTGACACTTTAAAGGCCTTTGTTTTGAACGCATCGTTAACATCACTTGCTAAAGCCATCATAATGTAGATCACTTTATTTGCATGCTACGATTCCCAGTCGTGATTTTGAAAGTACTAGATTCACCAAAACTATTTTTCTTTTACATAAAAATCTAGGAAAATGGGAATATGATATTTATAAACCCTCTAATTGATTTAAATATTACAATGATTATTCGTGACAATATCATGATCCGACATGCATCTTTGTACCTGGACGAGTTTGATCTTTTTGTCACATTTTACACTCAAATAAATGAATCCACGAGTTTGTATTCAATTATAAAGTAATATAATCCAGTAGGATTTCCCATTAAGTAACGTCTTATCCGCATGGAAAACGATCTAAGATTTTGGCTCACGTAAAAATTCATGGCACGTGTATCAGCGAGCTGGTACGCGTGAAAAAATACTACTCATAGCACATAAACATTGATCGAAAAGGTTTAGCTATCCCCCGCTCTACTTCTCCGCCTCGAGGTAAACAAATATTACTTTCAGCACGACATTTTTTCTTTGCTCAAAGTCAACGTAGTTCAAGGTCAACAAAACGAAACTAGAAAACCAAAACAAAAAAGGGTGTAAGAATAAAAATAATCTTACATTTCGTTGAATTAGAACTTGTAATATTTTTTCATAAATTTTTTCACCCACAACATAATTAAAGAAGCCAAAGATTCAAACGACAAAATTGGTGCACTCATCGCACTTATGCAGACGAAAAACAATCGGTAGAAACCACACCACCAGACACATGCTCTCAGCAAATGAAGTATTATGCCGATCGATCACAACGGTGTACGTCTCGAAATCGAACTTTTTACCCGAAGCATTTTCGTTTGAATTAAAGTTATACACAGCGAATGATAACCCTTTTTCTAATTATGGCTTTCGTTTTTGCTCACAGCTATTTTTAATGTCAATCCTTATCATTTACAAGTCCATTGGATAATCGATTCTAAGGCATAGCCACGTCGTTTGAGCTAACAATGAGCGATCTACGCTTCAGTCAGTTGCGTCACTTCCTATTGTCAATTGTGTCTCATTAATAAAGTTTTATTTTTAATGTTATAACACGGGTTGTGTTATAAAAAGATAATCATCATATTACCATAAAGCATATACGATGCCTTCATCGTCGCGAAAATTCAGCGTAAAATATTCGAAAGAGCAGCCAATTGCACGTGTGTCAGAGACCTGTTGAAAAAGCTGTACACAGCTTTCCAGTTACAACCTGTACGTCAGATTTTTCTGTGAAAATAAAAATAAACACAGCCATCCCTCCTTCTTTTCGTCATATAACTGTAGGGCGTCGAGACGTTTATAGCTCAAATTGTGCACTTACCTCGTGACGTTTGTCCCAGCAAGCCGGACCCAGTTAAAATGAATCTATCTAACCAAACCGCAGGCGTATTTTGATGGAATCAGCCGTGCAATGTTATGGTCTGCTCTTTGCGTGAGATCGAAAGTATTTTCAGTTTGGTTGTAAAATTATTGATTATAAAATTAGATCTACGTGAAGTAGCAACAATTTTACAAATTACCGTAAATAATTATATATGACGTATTGAAATGTTTATCGTATCGACTGCGGAGCGTAAAGATTTGCAAATGTATATTCGTTCGACACGATAGGTGGCACTGCCGAACGGACAAACCAGTCGATAAGTTTCAATGCAAATGGCCGTACGCGCATACACGCCGCTAAAGGTGTAATGCTATGCATGGTTACTATAATTTTGTTGTTCTAAAATCTGTCATAGTAAAGACTCGTCGTAATTTTCTTTGTGTTATATTTATTGACAGTTAATTTTGACTCAACTCTGCAATCTTGTTTCGGCGATTGCTGACATTTCAACGCCATCATGGAGATGGAAAAAAACATAGCTCGTACTCATGAAGGTAAACTTTAATCTTTTTTAACCTCTCTTTATCACATTACTTCAATTATTACAACTTAAATTAAGTTTAATTTCATTCGTATTTTTACGGTAATTTCTATATTCATTGTAGACATCGAGGCTCAGATACGAGACATTCAAGAGAAAAAAAAGAGCGTCCAAAATAATGTGGGTGCACCAGCTGATCAAGTTGCCCTAGGAAAAACAGGATTTTATGATCAAGAAATATATGATAAATCTAATAAGTATGATGGCTATGATACATCTATTGCTGCCAATGACGAAGTTGATGTAAGTATAGTCATTCATTATTTTTCCATGAGTTTATCTAAAATACATATTTTATGTTGACTAGGATGAAGATTTTGATCCACAACCATACATTGGTGCTAAAAGAAGCATCAATGCCCCGGTTGCTTTGCTCAACGAAGTTGGACAGGTATGACATATTTTAATTATTAAAATTATTAATATTATTATAAATTAAGAAATTAAATACAACACTGTAACTAAAATTGCAATTCTTTCAGAGTGACAAAGAGTTTGATCCATTTGCTGATAGACGTAGACCCACCATTGCAGATAGAGAAGATGAATACAAACAAAAAAGGAGAAGGATGAGATTATCTCCTGAACGTATTGATCCTTTTGCAGAAGGTTAGAACTATTTGTTATTTGAAATATGATAAAAAAACGTAAAATGTATTAAGAATTACCATAACAAGTTGAAAAACCAGAATTATGGTCCAATTAAAAGTAACTTGCAATACTTCTAGGTTTTCAAGTTATTGCGCATGTTTACAATTGAAAGTAGTTTAAAGTTTTAAGTTTTAAGGAATAATGACAAATTTGAATAATAGTGATAGTGAATAGTGAGTTAAAGTAACAGTGAATAATGATAAGAAACAGTGATGAGTTTGAATTTGATGCAAATCATGTATTGGATGTTGTTGTGAAAGTGATTATTTTTTTTCAAACACTTTAAGTGATGCAGCAGCCAGGATTTTTACTAATTGAGCTCTCAGAATTTTTGTTTGCATAACTCTTCACCTAGGCCAATTTTCAAAAACCAGCTCTGTGTAACCCTTTACATTGTTACTGAAAATAACTGTATCAAATTTCGTTTCATTTCAGGTAGTAGTTTTTCCAGAAAACATGATCAAATCAGTGTTCCGTACTCAGGATTAAAAATTGGATCTTGTTTTCTGGAAAAATTACTGAATGAAATGAGATGAAATTTCGTGCAGTTATTCAAATTAACAATGCAAAAGGCTCCACTGAGCAGTTTTTTGAAATTCGAGCTAGATAAAATAATATGCAAGCATGCATATTTAGGGCTTAATGAGTGAAAATCCTGTCTGCGGCAACACCTTCATTAATCTTGTTTATGAAAATCAATCTTTAAAGTAGTTTATGAGTTTATAATTATTTCTGTATAAATTGAAAACTTACATGTACATATTTTAAATATTTTAAATAATTATATTTTACAATTTTAGGCGGGAAAACACCTGATGTTGGTTCAAGAACATACACAGAAATTATGAAAGAACAAAGGTTAAAAGAGGACGAATCTGAGGTATGTATAAATAATTTCCTTTACAAATAGCATATTATTACTTATACTATCCAAATTTCTTTACAATATTCAATTTAAAATTTTCAGTTACGTAAAAAACTCATTGAAAAATCAAAAGATGGGACTCTTAAAACAAATGGTGAAGCTCCAGCAGTTCCAAAGAAACGGGGACGCTGGGATCAAACAGATGAAACACCTACACCAAAAAAGCCAGTTATTAGTACAACAGCTGCCACTCCAACTTCGTGGGATAACACCGATGTATGTAAATTTTATTATTGTAAAGCTAAATGTTGATATAATTGATAAACTCATATAATAATAAACTTCTAGGCCACTCCTGCTGCCATTCGTTGGGATGAAACTCCTGCACATGGAAAAGGTGGAGAAACTCCTGGTGCTACTCCGGGTGTCAGTACTAGAATTTGGGATGCAACTCCTGGTCACGCTACACCTGGTGCAACTACTCCTGGTAGAGAAACTCATGATAAAGTGATTTCTTCTAGTCGACGCAACCGTTGGGATGAAACTCCAAAAACTGAAAGGGAAACACCAGGTCATGGTAGTGGGTGGGCTGAAACTCCTAAAACTGACAGAGTAGTTGGAGAGCTTATACAAGAAACTCCAACTCCATCAGCAAGTAAGAGAAGAAGTCGATGGGATGAAACTCCTTCAGCTCAAACACCCGGATCAATGACGCCTCAAACACCAGCAACTCCTTTGACAACACCTCATCAAACATCAATATTAACTCCCAGTGGTACAACACCTATTGGACAAAAAGCAATAGGGTTAGCAACTCCAACTCCTGGACATTTGATGTCTATGACCCCTGAACAAATTCAAGCTTATAGATGGGAAAGAGAAATTGATGAAAGAAATAGGCCTTTATCAGATGATGAATTAGACGCTTTGTTTCCTCCAGGCTATAAAGTTCTTCAACCTCCAGCAGGTAAAATATATCAAGTCAAATTATATTATAAAAATTTTATGTTAATAATAGTAAATACATGCTCTCAATATTCATTCAATAGGATACATACCAATCAGAACACCAGCAAGAAAACTTACTGCTACTCCTACTCCAATTGCGGGAACCCCACAAGGATTCTTCATTCAACAAGAAGATAAAAGTTCTAAATTAATTGAGAACCAACCTAAAGGAAATTTACCTTTCATGAAACCTGAAGATGCACAATACTTTGATAAATTGTTGGTTGATGTTGATGAAGAATCACTTAGTCCAGAAGAGCAAAAAGAAAGAAAAATAATGAAATTGTTATTAAAAATTAAAAACGGAACGCCTCCTATGCGTAAAGCTGCTCTTAGACAAATAACTGATAAAGCAAGAGAATTTGGAGCTGGCCCTTTGTTTAATCAAATTTTACCACTTCTTATGTCTCCGACTTTGGAAGACCAAGAAAGACATTTACTAGTTAAAGTAATTGACCGTATATTGTATAAATTAGATGATTTAGTTCGACCTTATGTACATAAAGTAAGTAAAAAAATCATATTTAAAATACTCCATAAAATTGTATGAACTTTTCACTAATTCTTAATGAAATTTATTTCTAGATTCTTGTAGTAATTGAACCCTTACTTATTGATGAAGATTATTATGCTCGCGTTGAAGGTAGAGAAATAATATCAAACTTAGCCAAGGCAGCAGGTTTAGCCACTATGATTTCTACCATGAGACCAGACATTGATAATATAGATGAATATGTGAGAAACACAACTGCCAGAGCATTCGCTGTGGTAGCTTCAGCTTTAGGCATTCCTTCATTACTTCCATTTTTAAAAGCTGTGTGTAGAAGTAAAAAATCCTGGCAAGCGCGACATACTGGTATTAAAATTGTGCAACAAATTGCCATTCTTATGGGATGCGCTATATTACCACACTTGAAAAGTTTGGTGGAGATAATCGAGCACGGTAAAATTAAAATCCTCTAATGGCGCAGTACCGAATAAATTTATTTTATCTAATAATCAATGTTTTTTTTTAAAGGTTTGGTTGATGAGCAACAAAAAGTACGAACCATCACAGCGTTGGCTATTGCAGCTTTAGCTGAAGCGGCAACTCCCTACGGTATCGAAAGTTTCGATTCTGTTTTAAAACCCTTGTGGAAAGGTATTCGTACACATCGAGGAAAAGGCTTGGCCGCTTTCTTGAAGGCTATCGGATATTTGATACCACTCATGGATGCCGAATATGCTAATTACTATACTCGAGAAGTAATGTTGATTCTAATTAGGGAGTTTCAATCGCCTGATGAAGAAATGAAGAAAATCGTGTTGAAGGTAATTTTTTAGAAAATTTAAAATATCGTTAATTTTTCGAATAAATATTCGTTTATTTCATTTCATCATTATAATTTATTATGAAAATTTACAGGTAGTGAAACAGTGTTGTGGTACTGATGGTGTTGAAGCACAATACATAAAAGACGAAATTTTACCACACTTTTTCAAACACTTTTGGAATCACAGAATGGCTTTGGACCGTCGAAATTATAGACAGGTATGTATTGAATATATACAAATTTGGTAAATATCATTTGCAATTAATTATAATATGCATTTTATAAAATTGTTAATATTAGCTTGTAGATACGACGGTTGAAATAGCCAATAAAGTTGGAGCTTCAGAAATCATTAACAGAGTTGTTGATGATTTAAAAGATGAAAATGAGCAATACAGAAAAATGGTGATGGAAACCATTGAGAAAATAATGGGTAATTTAGGCGCTGCTGATGTCGATTCTCGCTTGGAAGAACAACTTATCGATGGAATTTTATACGCTTTCCAAGAACAAACATCAGAGGTTTGTCACATTATTATATATATAGTTGTTGAAAAACACAATTATTTTAAAAATAACTTCTTATAATTTTTAATTACAGGATGTTGTAATGTTGAATGGATTTGGTACAATAGTAAACACCCTTGGGAAGAGGGTGAAACCTTACTTACCACAGGTTTGCGGTACTATTTTGTGGCGTTTAAATAATAAATCAGCAAAAGTAAGGCAACAAGCGGCTGATCTTATTTCTAGGATTGCAGTGGTCATGAAAACTTGCCAAGAGGTATTTAACAATTATGATTGTTTATTCAACCATCAATACATTCGATATATTAAATATTCTATGTAATGTTTTAGGAGAAACTTATGGGACATTTGGGAGTTGTTCTCTATGAATACTTGGGTGAAGAATATCCAGAAGTCTTGGGTAGTATTTTAGGAGCACTAAAAGCTATAGTGAATGTTATTGGAATGACAAAAATGACACCTCCGATTAAAGATTTACTTCCTAGACTGACGCCGATTTTGAAAAACAGACATGAAAAAGTATGTTGATCATTTTGTAATAAATCTTGCATTATCTGAATATATGAGAAACAAAAAAATTAGAACTAAAAAAATATAACTTTTGCTATTATAGGTCCAAGAGAACTGTATTGATTTAGTAGGCAGAATTGCTGACAGAGGACCCGAGTATGTATCTGCCCGTGAATGGATGAGAATTTGCTTTGAGCTATTAGAATTATTGAAAGCACATAAAAAAGCTATCCGAAGAGCAACAGTAAATACCTTTGGTTACATTGCCAAAGCAATCGGGTAACTATTCAACTAAATATTTAAATAATACATTACAAATTCATTTCATTATTGATTTTAATAATTTTTTTACAGCCCTCATGACGTTTTAGCAACTTTACTAAATAATTTAAAAGTTCAAGAGCGACAGAATCGTGTTTGCACAACAGTAGCTATTGCTATTGTTGCTGAAACTTGCAGTCCTTTCACAGTACTGCCAGCACTCATGAACGAGTATCGAGTTCCAGAGTTGAATGTTCAAAATGGTGTTTTAAAATCATTATCATTTTTGTTTGAATATATTGGTGAAATGGGTAAAGATTACATATATGCTGTCAGTCCTCTACTAGAAGATGCGTTAATGGACAGGTTTGTTTACTTTTTATATTTGTTTTGTAGAAATTGAAAAAAAATTATTTCTAACTTTTTTTCAGAGATTTGGTGCATCGTCAAACAGCTTGTGCAGCTATAAAGCATATGTCTTTAGGAGTTCACGGATTTGGTTGTGAAGATGCTCTAGTTCATTTGTTAAATTATGTTTGGCCGAATGTTTTCGAAACATCTCCTCATTTGGTGCAAGCTTTCATGGATGCTGTAGATGGTTTAAGAGTGTCGCTGGGCCCTATTAAAATTTTGCAATATACACTGCAGGTAAATATCAAAACATTTGCTTTTTAATATAAACAATCACTGGGCAAAAAAATAAAATATTACAATTTAATTTCAGGGCCTATTCCATCCAGCCAGAAAAGTTCGTGATGTGTATTGGAAAATTTATAATTCATTGTACATTGGTGGACAAGATGCTCTTGTTGCTGGATATCCAAAAATTATGAATGATCCAAAGAATCAATATATTAGATATGAGTTGGATTATGTTTTGTAACTTTTTCAAGTTTTCTATACTTACAAATTTGAATCAGTAAAAGATCTATGATCAATTGTATAAGAGTATTGAATAGTAATATAAATTATTAGAAATATTGTCATTTTAATTATAAAACAATGAAATAATAAATAAGTGGATGATCAGCTGCAAAAGTTTACTTGTAAGACATCAAAAGTGTAGTTGCATTCAAAATACTATTTTCAATATTAGTTTAATATTAATGTATAACGTATATATTTTAATTTTGCTAAGTGAAAGACTTGGAAATTAGTTCTTACTACTTCATGATTTTTTATAACAGAAAAATATGCCACTACGTCTACTTATTCTTGAAAAATAAGCATTCACGTTTGTTCGAATAAAAATTATTTGCAGCATTTTAAAAAAGTCAGACTTCACTATGTTCAGCCTTGTAAGACATGGAATATATTAGTAAAAAGTTTTCACTCAAGTCTTTGAATTATGTTGCGTTTAGAATTCTATTACTCAATTTTATCTTAAAATGGATAGTTTAAGCTTAAAAAGAAAACATCATACGTATTTAGTTTTGGTCGAGATTTGTTTGTACGTGTCGTTAAGATTTTGCAAGTACATCTATCGAAATATTAGCATTCAAAATTTTTTTCTTAATTTATATTACAGTAGGCATTTATTAACCTTTTTCTTCATTTTGGACTTATCACGGTTGAAGTGGTTTAACCCAAATAATACCAAAAAAATTACTTGAAGTAAGAATCGAAACATAAAGTGAGATTTTTGCGGATGGACAAGGACTGGGCTTAATGAAATTTCACTGAAAGAACATCTCTTCACCAAATTCAATTGATGGTTGGTCGTCGCTTAAAGTGCAGTAAAATTTAACAACTTAATATTGGTTCACGCAAAAATAATTGAAATAGGCGTATAGTCGCTCTAAAAACTACCTTTTTACTGAAGTATTTTTACGAAAATTTATCTATTTTTTGTTATATTTCAAATAAATCGTTTAACGCTTAACCATATGAATTTAATTTTAAAATTACTTTACAATTACCTAAAGAGGCCACTCTATATGAATTTGCCTGGGCAATTTGAACCAATTAATTGAATAGTGTAAGGTTTTAGGTAAACATTGTAATGAAAGTAAAACATGGATTATCTTCAGACTGCATCGAAGTAGTTTTATTGTCTTAACAAGATCAAATATAGCATTGAATGAAACATTAACATTTGGTATACTAAAGATCTTTTCGAAGTATTAAAAATACTCTATGAGTCTATAGTTTTACTGATTATTTTTTGAAAAGAATATATCTATAAGAATAGTAACAATAATCAATAATTTGCTACCAACCCCTTTGAATAGCTACAAGGAGTAGCTCTTTTCTGTGTTATCAGCAAATTTAAAAAACGGAAAATTCGAAAACATTTTTGGTGACATGTTTTACTCAAAAGAATAAATTTCTTACTTCTAAATGTAACAAGATTTATTTACAAGCTTTAAGGTGATGTCGAAGCTAAAGTAAAAAGTAAAATTTTCTAATCTGTTGTCGAGGCTTTAATTCAAAGTTTTTCCACACGGCTATGAGGGACATTGAGAAAATTGGACAAAAGTCACCACAGAGCCGTTTACATCAACACACTCAATAGAATAGTCAGAAAACGCGTTAAAAAATGTTTATTTTACATTGGCCTTGACATCTCCTCTATGTTTTACAATTAATACATAATACAAGAAAAATCTTTTCAATAGCACAATGAAAATATTCTATAATTTGCTGTGTTTTTTCAATTCAAATAATATTGTTCAGAAAATTTCTCGAAATTTTTTTTAAAAATATGAAAAAATATATGTTTGAAACTTTTGAATTCAATACAAACTCCATCATTTCCATTAGTTCAGTTAGAAGGCACATTTTTATGGTGAAGAAAATGTTTGGAGCTGTGCTGACTTTGTATTACTTCAAGTACAAATTATTAATTAAAGACTTTTTTCAGGAAAACACATATGAATTTTTCTGTAGTGAACTGAGTTTTTCATAGTACTGTATATTCCTAGTATTATTGTAATTTAAAGTGATACCAAAGCTAAAGGTGTATATAAGAATGTTCAAAATTGTTCATTGAGTTTTCGACTGAGTCTTTTTCAAACGGCTCCAGGATGCCTTTAAGAATATTATAACAAAAGTCACTCTAGAGCGGTTAAAAAATAGATTCCGTGAATGTGTCAATTAACAGATTTGAAAATTTTAATTCAACACCGGCCTCGGTATCCCTTAAATACATCTTTCCCACTACTGGTAAGTTCTTACACTAAAAAACATTGTATACAACATTGTGCGTAAATACGCTTCTTCATTGAAACTGGTCAATATCCTTCGTTTAACTCAAAAGCATATTCTTACACATTGAATAATAAACTATTTTACAATATCCTTAACAATTTTTAGCTTGTGACTTCATTCAACATTTTCCGAGTAACTTAATATATACTGAAGGTATGATCTCTCATAATGTGTCTTCTTATTTGATTACGATTTGGCACCATATCTCCTGAAACATCAAATATTTTTTGATTTGGCAAAATTTCAAAATAAGAAAAATAATCAAGTTTAATTATCGTTTTGCAACTATTATAAAAATACGAGAAAATAAAGAATTTAACACTTTTTATATACAAAAAAGGTTTTGAATATATATTTCATTACAGATTAAAAATTGTATGGATTTATAGCTCGCTTTAACGGCTCGAAGTCTTAAAGACATTTGAAATTTATTTAACTTCTTATTCAGAAAAAAAAACTAATAAAACAATGATTAAAAATTTTTTCTCCACTAATTTACCTGAGGATTAAATTGTGAAAATCGATTGATACTCAAGTGATTTCGGAAATTCTTGAAAATTTTATCAACTCTATTGCTTTGGAGCCGTAAACTATTCTAGGATAGTTGACGTTTGACTTCAGATTGATTATAAACCTGTGGAGATGTAGATAAACTAGTTTCAGAGTCGTTAATGGAAGAGGGCTTCAATCGATTCGTCAATAAATAAACCACAGCTTCGTAAGTGGCCATCATAATTGCAGTATTCGGAATTTGTCGGAGCAATTGCGTTGCAAGACCTCGATACAATCCGCGACTTCCTTCTTCATTTAAAATAGTATTAGCTGTTTGCCAAAATCCCACATACTTCGTGCCTTCTTCACGTAGCCGCGTTCTCACAACCTCTGCAACATAATTATATTCATCAATTTTAAGTATAAAATGTTTGCTTAAAATTATTTAAAAAAAATAATTGGAATTACAACGTCAAGGCAATGACGAAACAATTATTTAATATAGTTGGAATAAATATTACCCCTCAAAAGATTTTTATACTTTTAAATGTATTTTGATCAAAAATGCTGAAATGTCTAGAAAACAACAAAGCAAAACTAATTTCTATGTAGATTTCCAGAAAAATATAATGTAAAAATTCTCGAAATTGTTTTTATAATTTTGTATATTCTCGTTGTGATAACAGTTAAAATATTAAAACTTTTCTAGAAGTTGAAGATGTTTCAAATTGAAAAATTTAAATCACTGTTATTTCCTTTTTTGTTTGTAGCAAGTAATTTATGAATGAAATAAGATATTTGAAAAAATTACCATGAGGATAAGCTATACAGGATGCCACCGTTTTTGAAAGAGCCCCTGCAGCCATGAATTCAACAAAATCACGTGATAATTTGGATCCATCGGAAGGAGAAATTTGAGCATGTTGAGTCATCAGCCAAGCTTTTATCGCCTCATAGATCACAAAGTGTACGACTGTTTCACTTATTCCGAAATACGATGCGATAATACCTTTGTAAAATCCCATTATTCCCTGTAAGACAGATTTACACATCAGCGAAGGTTTTTATAACAATATATTAGTTGGTACATCATACGAAAAGGAATACCCATTCCACATAGGAACAATTTTATGATTATTATCAAAAAGATCGGTGAAAAACTTATCACGATTGCGAAAAAAAGATTTTCAAGAGATTTTTTAGAAAGTCAGTCAATAAACTTTTCATTCTGCAGTAGGATTAAAATTTATTAACAGTAATATGTAGTTTTGAACGGGTAACACTCTTGATCATTCTTTTAATTTCATACTAATAATTTTTTATCGAATAATTACGACGAAGTTTAAACCGGCCCTTTCTCGAGTCAAAATGTGTTAGTGAGGCGAAGTCTCGGCTGATTATCACGTGCTCAGAGACATTCTTTTTTGCTACACAAGTAAAAATACATTTTTTTTGTGAATCCCCAGCCTAAAGTAATATTTCGATTTTTCTCAGCGGGAAAAAAATTTTACTTTAGGTTGGGGGAGCACGAAAAATCAGTTTCTTAACGTGTGTACTTGTATTAATTGAATATAGAATATTAAAAATAAATTTCGTGCAAAAGATGTGAAATAGTTGCGAATAGTCTGTATGAGAATAATAGAATAAGTAATAATTCTTTACTTTTTTTATTACTTACCGCCTGTTGATAAACATTTCGAATGCACTCGTACGCAGTAATAGGATTTGCATGATTACTGAGTTGTAATCTCGTTTTTACAAACCAAATTGGATTCGTTGCAGTACAGGATACAAAGCCTGAAAATATTGAAAAATGAATTTAAAAATTTCAAGATAGAAAAAAGTTATTTTGCTCTAATTATTCAAACTATTTTCAAGAATTATTTCACATTATTGATGTTCGATCAGTAATGTAAAAAATTTGAAGTAAGTTAAAAAGAAGAGGAACAAACATTTTTATCACGCCATGTAGAAAGTATTACTTCCTGCTTCTTTATACAGTACTCCTAATCGCTGAATATTTTTTGTTATTTTTTATGGGAAACTTTTAGTTTAGTATACTTGATAAACTATTTTATATACCACAAACAATCAATAAATAAAAGAAGGAAACAACTTTTTTTAAAGTCATCTCAGCATTCAATAAGAAATTGTTGAAGTGAATTATTCATTCACATAATTGAGACTGGTAATTAATACTGACCTGCGCAAGATGCAGCGCACATGTGTACAACATGACTATCTGGAGGTAAAATTGTATTGAAAAAGTTTTTGGCTTGTGAATAGGTGCAAAAGTAGATAGCTCTGGAAGGAGCTACCCCTATGAGATTAGGCACTAATCCTTTAAACAAAGCCTTAGGACCTTCGTGTTCAACTATATATTTCAAACATTGATATATTCCAGGTGGTAAGGGCACATTATTGGGTCGGCCACCCAAAGATGGAGGTACAGCACAATGAGACAATGTCACTAGCGAATATCTGTAATATTTTAATATAAAAATTTAGTCATATCATACTCATTACATTGTATCTTGTACTTGTTATATTTAAAAAAAATTAAAATAAAAAAAACTATATACATACTTTCTATGTTCACCAGTGCATAGACGTCTACGTTGTTGAGAAGATGAGATATTTTTACATTGTAAATGACTGGAAACCATTTCTTTGGTAAGAATTTGAGTATAAAATCCAGAAGACGACTGAAGTCGTGTTTTGACTACTTCTAGAGGACATGTGACAATTGCTGCAATAGTGCCAGCAACCCTAAAAAACAAGTTGTCAATATAATATTACTGAAGTATGTAGTATTTTAAACATTGAACAGTCTGACTTGTAAATAAAAATGTTGCATTATATCAATAAACAACAATCAAAATGATAAACAATCAAGAAAATATATTGCATGAAAAATATTTTGTTACTGTAATATTAAAACATAAGATATAAATTTTAATAATAAACCTTCATGAAAGATATTATCAACAAGATTTGATGTAATTATTCACTGTTATAGCGCTATCAATGAGCTGACATAAATACAAATTCATGCCTTGAAAATTGTTTTGATATGATTTGAAAACATTAAGAAACTAGTCTTGAGCATTGTTGCTATTTGAAATTAAATTTAAAAATAAAAAAACGAATGAAAATATTTTTACTGCGACTCGAATGATTAGAGTAGAAAGTCATTTTTCGTATTATTGCACCTGTTGTTGACGTTTATAATACGTATAAAATAACTTACCCCCCAGCAACGAGATGAATTACAGTGTCACGCTGCGTCATCTTCCCGTGTTTGCCTCGAAATTGGCGTTGTCAAACGTTCTGGAGGTTAAGCCCAGTGTTTCGGGGATCACCCGAGGCAAACTCGGCTCGTGGATCAACAACACAGAGTATGAGCTTATGTAAAGACACGATTAAACTTTGCTCGATCGTGTTGAGTTTTTCAACATTGCTCACGGACTTGGACGAGTCGGTCGGGTATTTTTTCACCAATTGCGCAATCTCTCAATTCAACATCTATCTTCTCCGAGAGAATCACAGATTGCACGAAACTAAAACACTGCAAAAACAGGTTCACATTGCACTGTGCGTTAATGTCACTAACATTATGGCTAGTGGTAAAGATCACAGTTGAGTATTACACACATCCGGAAAGCTCTCGCATCAAAACGTATCGGAACTCGAGCTTGACGGTGAGCAGACTCGCGACGGAGATAAGATTTTTCAAAATGTTTCACGAGCCAAGGCTGTCATGGTGCTTTTTGCAAAAGGTCCATGAGAAAGCAAGTTGATTGTTAGTTGTTAGTACCACTTAAAGTAAGAGCACTTTCAGGCGGCTTGCATCGTTATTCGCTGACCGTTGTTATGATTTGATTTGCGGCTTGCGAGTGATGGTATGCGCATGTCAATACAAAGTCAGCACTAAGTGTATACATACACAGCGTGAGCACACACCACAGCAGTAAAGCGATCAGCGACTTACCACCAACTGGATACCCGAGTCCCAGCTTTTGCAGGATCGCTCGTCTATTTCATCGATTCACCGATTCGAACTTGAAGTTTTGAGTGGGGTTGGAACGAGTGAGATTTTGAAATGTAAATTCGAATGCATAGTTAAAACAGTAGTCGCATTTTTATCATTTTATTTCAATTATTTTTATGGGAACCGAAGTCAATGACGATTTTCGCGTGTTATAGGCTGGCTGACTCGAAATTAAGAAATGTCGATGCTCTGCCTGCTATGTAAACGTGAATTATGGTCTGCTGACTGATTCAGAAGTATAAACTTTTAGTTTCTTAACTGCTTCAAAATTTGAAAATTAAGATTTTCGAATAAATTTTCTACTCCGTTTTGAGTGAATTTTACAGCTGTATATTCGAGGTCTGAATTATTACCCTGGATGCGTATGGTGGATGTTGTTTGAAGTATTCGGAAGTTATCAAATGAATGTTGCTAGTTAGATTTTTTGTGTTAATTTTCTAGTTCGATTGCCTGTATTGATCTGTGTTTGCATGGATTTCCACGTTTTCCACGTCCTTTTGCTTAATTACCAAAAAGGTCTTCTTCTTTTTTTACTGTCCATACAGAGTCAGTGTTAGCTTAAAGGTTCAAAGGCACTTTATAACGGGGAAAATGTATTTAATATTCAACGAGGATTTTTCTTTTATTTTCGATTGAATTCAATGAAATTCCGAATCGCTCTCGATAAGTAATTTTATGCTAAAATCATAAAAATGTGTGCTTAGTGTTGAGTATTTGTGCAAAGCGATCCATCCGTCCGATCACATCTTACTCTCAAGATTTCGACCGTAACCACTAATGTTCCACAGACATCTGATACAACCTGGTCGATGCATCTCAAATGGTTTATTCTGAACATTATAACACGTGAATGCATTTTTTTAAAGATATGAAGTACCAGAAAATGCAAAAGAAGAAAAAATCTCACCCGTAAAGTACAAAAAAAAGGCTCATGGAAACAACTATATTTCAGTGTAAAGAGAAAGAAAAAACGTTCAAAAAATTAAATAAATTTATTTTTTATTTTTAGGTACATTTGAGCCCTCAACTTGATTCTAAGTTTTATAATCACCACTATAATTCATGTAATATTTAGTTATATCATAGGCTTCGCATCTTTACATTAAAATTCAGTTATACCATTTTATCAAGTTCACTTTCATAATTTGCGTCGCAGTTTTGAAGCATTTAAATTTCGGTCATAAAATTCATGTTATGTAAACATTTTCGTTAAAAATGTTGACATAATTGCCACAGATAAGTATCAACGTTCATTGGATTTTCCTACAGAAAACTTACGTATTGAACATTTTAGGCGTCTTATCAATTTCTTTATGATCATTTTCAAAAATCGTCATATCGCAAGATTCCTCTCTCACTCCCAAATAAGTCCGATAAATCACTTGATAACATTCATGGATCTAATTTGTTTCGCTTAAAATTTTGTCAACGATCGATTTTTCTGTAATCAATATCAACACCTAATTTAGATTAACAATATTTACTAATCGTAACATAAAAATTTGATTAAACCAATGTAAATCGAATAAAACTAAGTCATTATAAAGCATTTCAGAATATAAAAAATCATTATTTAATTCATAAAGACAGACAAATGAATTTTATCGATATCTCTCATGAATTCTTGTGAGAAAATAGATGGTCAAAAACTGCTGTATAAGTATATGGAATATTAAGAAATAGTTTACTTTTATTTACGAAAAATTACCACAGTATTATAGGACCTCCCAATTTAATTGATAATAGTAAAAAATTGTTCAGAACTTCATAAAACAGACCTAATTTTTTGTAAATAATAATAAATAACTACGAATCGAAAATCGGGCAAAGTACAGTATCTCAACAAACAAACACATTGGTTTGAATTCTTCAGAAGTTTTTGAAGGATAAACATTTTCATTTAAAAGACAAATAGAAAGTTGGAATAGACATTGTGCATCAATGAATGAATATAAATATATTAATATTATTTTAGCTAAACTAATAAACGTGGGTCACTCATTCTCTACGTATGTTTGGCTTGCATTCAAGTTCTATAAATGTTCAAACTCGTGTTAAATTTATCGAGATGGTTTAGTTGAGTTTATTGTACTTTTTGAACTATAAAATATGTAGGACATTAATGAGCAAAAAATGTTTTATTGAGAACTAGTTAAAAAAACCTAAGAAGCGGGTATCAGGTTCTTATACCTGATTCAGCGAATAGCTCTTACCCACGTGTACTGACGGTTTTGCAATTATAGATCAGGCTAATGGAAAATTTTTTGAAGATGTATGAACGGGTATAGTAATCGTGAACTTGGTAAATCAGTATGGAACAATCAGGTTTACCCATCCTAATTCGGGTCCATAGGTCATCGTTTTGATGAGTACAGCGCAGTTGTCTTTGGTGCTGATGCTTTTACAAGCACTCATGGTGCATGCGTAACTCTTGTCACGTAAAAAGAGGATGAGTCCAACAGCGATCGACCAAAGCTTTTTAAAATAAATTTTTAATCTGCCATTCGATCAAAGTATCTTGTATTCAGCATAACTTTCTCTCTCGGCTATATTATTCGAGCGAGTTACATGTCATCCTGCATGTTGACGCTGAACATTTTATAAATAAATCTATGTTTATCTCGAGAAGGTTTATATGAAGACCAGTTCATCTCGGGAACTCTGATTTGATTCAATAGTATTCAAATCTCCGAAACTTAAGAAAACTATAAATAATTCATGAATATTTTTTAAAATAAAAAAATACAATTACTTTTAAAAATGTATCTTAATGTAACTGATGAATTTTTTCTCAAGAAGCTGTTTAATTGAAAAACAAATTCAGAATTATATGAAACTTTTTAGTCAATGAAAAAAAAATGGTCATCATCACTACGCGCAGAATATTATAGATTTATTTTAGCTGCTGCATAGACTCTCGACAAATGTAAGTCGACTCAAATATCATGAAATATTTTTTAGGCTTTTTTCATAGGAAAATTATTTTCTAAAATGCACCTTGAAGTTTATTTTTACAGAAAACTGTTCAAAATTATTAATTTGATTGAGTAAAGATGAAATGGGGATGTTAATAGGTGTATGTCTTTTGAGTTTTCCATTAAAAATTTGTTGAAATATTTGCAGGGATGCTTTGGTTTTGTTAATTTCTCAACGTATACGTTGATTTTATAGAAATATTTAATAAGATTCTCGGAAAACTTCAAAAGCTGGTAGTAACCGCAATTTTTAAACTAAAAAGCGAATTTAAAAACTTTAATTTTATGTAATCATTTCAGCGACATAGAGACTGTCCCGATAAGTTTAGTCAATTTTACACGGTTGGAGCAACATCTCTGCAACTTTCTCTTGAATTTGAAAACTGCATTCCATAGATCTATCGTAGTAGCAGCACGTTTCCGCAACTTTCTTTTAAAAATATTGTATCTACAGTCAAAAAAAATGTAAGTACGGATGCAAAGTACTGTCATAAAGACGTGCCCGTAAAGTTTACTTTGCATTTTCCAATTTTTCAAAAAATTTGCTCCGGTATTTAGTTTCAATCTATTCATCTAACTTTCGGTGTTAGAGTAAGGTTTGTGCTTTTTAAATTATTATTTGTAAGTATCAATTAAAATCAAAGTTTTAGGTGAAAAAGAAAAATCAAAAGCTTCGTGGGTAAAATATTTTCTACCCACATTTCAATACTTACTGGTTATAAATTGATCAATAATCGCTTTCAAAAATGTTGATAATATAGCTATTGCATTAATAATTTATTATTAGGAGTGAGCTCTAAGTTTACATGTCTTGAAAAATTAAATGAAATTATCATTCAATCATTTCATTTTACAACAGTCTTAAAATTGTTTGTCAACATTTTAATTAGTACTGTAGATTCAGGAAACATTACTTTATTATGAATAATGTAAGATCCTTTTAACAGTTAACTGTAGTCATCTTGAGTAGATAGAATACTGAATATTTTGCATCAATCGATGAATTATAAATTACACTAATATATTGCATTAGAATAACCTAAACCAGGCATTTTTATTTAATATTGTTAAATATCCATCGGAAGCTCACCTAAATACGAACATAGTAAATTAATTCACTGATGGAGTTGCGCTCTTGAAATTCTTTATCAAAAGACAAATTTGAAATTAAGAATTTTTGTCATTTTAACTGCCTTATTTATGAATTCAATGATAATTGTTTACACAATACTACAATTATTATTTATCTTTTACTCTTCTATTTGTATTGTTTCAACAGCAAAGAACACATTAGCCTATTTATACATAATTTTAACATCCAATTTGTTAAATTCGCAATGAATTTGGCATATATTGATATAATTTTGTTTTGTTGATATATTTTATTGAGAAAATAAAGCGGACGGTTTAATTCAAGTTTTTCAGCTAAATTTTTATACATAATATACATACATTCACATATTCACGTATATTTTCTGTTGAGTCAGTAAGCCGATTTCTGCTCCTAAAGGCACAGAATTTTGCACTTGAACCCGGATTACTTAGAATAATTCAATTTGACAGATTTTCATCTTAATATAACATTCGTATGTTTTAGTGAAAGCATGGTCTGTGTGCACCTGAGTATATAAATTGTTATTCATAGATTGAAAGATAAAGCAACTGCTTAGCAGTGCTTATAGTTTGTAGTCTTTTACACATTTCCAACTTGTATAACTTGTAGGTAAATTCAACACACATGTCTTGTTCATGAAATAAATATTCTTACAAGAAACTGTATCTATTGCATTATGCATGTAAATATTTTAAGACTATTTAGTACACTTTAGCAGTGCATACGACATGATCATCAAACGATTTTTTCAAATGATAAAAAGATAAGTCATGCTGAGTTTACACACATCCTCACTATATCTGTTACATCTTTATGTAATTATAATTTTACATACATATATATATAATATGTGTGTGTGTCTGTGTCTCTGTGTGTTTGTGTGTGCGCGCTCGTGGCTCACCTTATTTTTTATCTCAAGCTTAGTACTTAGAAACTAATTCTACAATTAAAAAAACCCAATGTATTAGATTTCAAATAAAATTTTACAATGAAACATTTGTTTACAGACTAAAAATAAATTCAATATAATTTTTTTTCCATGTTTACATAAAAAGGACTTTTAATAAACTCTTTTTTGTCCTAAATTTGTTTAGTGCTAAGCTTAAGATACAGTGAGATACAATATGAACTTATAAATGACAATTATACACTCGACTATACGTTTGTTTTTTTAATAGTCTCTGCAGTACTGTCTCTACATATCACAGCCTGAGTGTTTCCACTGCCTCAAACTTTTTTTCTACATAACAATTTTATACATGCTTAGCAATAAGTCGATTCACAGTTTAACTATAATGTGTTAATAAAGGAGCTAAATACTAAAGATGAAAGCAAATTTACAATATGACGCCAGAAAAAGAAGGCAGTGACTAAATGGTGCACTTTTACAAAAGTTTGTCCTTGCTAAAGTTTGGAAGGATATAGACTAATAAGAATGAAGAGATCAAGGAGATAAGGTGAAAGAAAGTAGAGTGCCCAAAGCAACTAGGAAGCAACATCCCAAATTTCAGCAAGAAAGGGTGGCAGCTTTTTATTCTTAAGCTTAAGGTTTGAACAAGTTTCACTGTTTTGGTTGCCTAGGGTGCGTAACTCTGTAAGAACTGACAATAGTTTAGCGAACATTGCGCTAGCTTTAGGTTTACGCCAACTTTCTACATAGGCTTTTAATGCATTTAGATAAATTTCTTGAATCTTTTCTACTTTCCAACCTTCCGAGACATTGGGTCGATCTGTAATACAAAAATGGGTAAGTGAAAACAGTAAATCGATAGTTTTTTTTTAAAGAAAACTATGATGAAGGTATAGTTACCGGAAAATATAACAATAGCAGTGAGAAGAGCATATTCCGCGTTGTTGACTTGCATGGAATACATAAGTCTCCCGAAATGCAGTAGATCGTCAATAATGTTTCCTATTCCAGCAAGAGTGTAACTGTCGCGCGAGTACGCCTGATTGTTAGCAAAAATGATGCTGTCGGTTTGATTGTCGTACTTTCTTGCCATTCGCAGAATCATAACTTCACTGGAGCAAGCTTTCAACAACACTATTTTATCTTCGTGACGCAGCTTGTCAAAGCCTGGAAGTCGTTTGGCAAATTCTACGATAAGTTGAACCGTCAAGATCGTAATTTCGGTAATGTGTCTGAATCGAACATCACTTGGATCTTCATTTTCAGAGGATTGCTGAAAACAAAAAAATTGTTATGTTACATACAGAACTATCGATACTTCCCCCTTGACCGATTAGAGTCTACATGATATATAGAAAAAAAGTCATAAACTTTGTCTACCTAAACCTATAAATTAAATTTTTGATCACGTTTTCTGAAATTTTAACTGAATATTTTTCGAAATGTCTTGGAGAAGGCCTCAAATTGAAAATCCCAAAGTTAAATGTCATAAAAATACGTAATCAACAACTTACTGTTATGCGTTTAACATCTTCTTCATTAGGCGCTTCGAATTCGTCTTGAAAGAAAACTAATCTGTTGATCAGTTCTTCTTGTTCAGGACTAACGTGTTTACGACCATTGTACGGAATACTGATTGTGCCAGGATCGGAGTGGGAGAACGCTTCCGGCTCAGCAGGTTCTGTCTTAACGTGGCCGATTTGACCATCGGGGCCAATCAACGCGCCACCGCCGCCGCCGCCAGCACCACCTCCACCACCACCGCTAGAACCTTCGTTCCCATTTGGGGAACCATTCATCGATGTGCTGACGGGCTTATCCTTGTCCTAGAGATTCAGATGAAAAAGATTAGTCGGTGTCAAACTTACGCGTAATGTCTCGTCAAAGCCAGAACTTACGCCTACCTTTTGTGCCTTTTTCTCCTTGCGTTTGACGGCACACTGGAACTCGGGTACGACGCACTCCGGGCGCATACCGACGTGTAAGCATTTTTTCAGCCGGCACTCCTGACACTTCCGTCGCATGTACATGTCGATCTCACAACTATTTCCATATTTGCACTGATACACTGCATTTTTAGTAATGCTACGTCGAAAGAAGCCTTTGCAGCCTTCGCAAGTCAGTGCATTGTAATGATAACCCGACGCACGGTCACCGCAGACAAGGCATAATTCCTCCTGTTGGCGCGGCGTAGGGCCTTTTCGTCTTTTTGCATCGCAGCTATCCATATTGTAGCCGTTTAATGAACTTGGCGGTGATAAGTCATCTCTTCCTGCAACGACAAATATACAGTTAAATCATTTTTAATGATGAGTTGAAAAATCCTTTATTCCTTTATTAATTATAAAAAATACACGTTTATCCAATAAGTATTGTAATTGATAATTATCATAATATAATGAACATTATATTGGGGAAAATATTTTGAAAAATTTTCTTTTTCTCAATGAATTAAGCATAATCATTATAATTGGTTGATGAATATTGGTAGACCTAGTTTTCAACGATGGAACGGTTAGTCGAGGAGGCTCAGGCTCCCTGATCGAACGCGTAAAAAACGAAAAGTTTTTTGCAACTAGTGCAAATTTGATGTATTATATTCAGCGGAAAAATTTTTTTAAAGTAATACTCGCAGCAGTTATTCCAAACACCTTAGACTTCGTCACAAAAACATAAAGCAGCCTACTTATCATCTACAGAGAATCAAAGTATCCCGATTTCCGTGGTATTAACCATAACGTCAACATGTTCGATACTACTACTTCATTCATACGACTTTTCGTATCAGGGGTCAATGTATTCTAACCCGAATGAAAACCCTTGCAATAGTTGTGGGCTTTTTTTATTTTTTTCCTTGTTTTTTCACTCACATACATAATTTGTAATTGATGAATATGCGTTTTCTATCCCTTTTTTTATTAAAACTGACCCTACGCACATCTAGATAATTGGCACATTGCATCATTTGAAATATTACGCATTGATAATTTGCAACTAATTTTAATTTAACAAACATTTTAAAAGCTAAAGTTTTTAAGACAGTCAAATATATCTGAACGCATAATCATTTCATCATAGAAACCTGCAACCTGAAAAGAGAATCTTTTCTGAGTCTCTCATGTTTCTCATAAATTGTACTTTGCAATGTGTACGAATGTATATTTTTAGAAAAACTTGTTACACCTATTCTGGTAACTCGGACTGAAACCTCTGAGTTTGCTCAAAAAGATTAAGCAAAAACTAAAGTCACATTGAAAATTTTTTAAGATTGCTATTGCTTTTTATGTGACTACGTAAATGTCAAGTAATATCAAAATAAAGCCTTTTATGTAGTATTTTAGAATGATTGTTATCCAATTTCAGTTCAAATTTCAAGAAAAATTTTTCAAATTTTGCCCTAGCTTTGGTACTTATTTAACGCACTCAATTAAAATTATAATTCTTAATTCGATTTTTAAGAACAAGTTGTGGAATTTAAAAAAAAAAGAGTTTTCGGGAAAAAAAATCCGTACTTGACGTAGAAAATTTTATTTGTGCTTTAAAATTGGTTCCAAATTAAACTTTAGGACATAAAAAATGCATTTTTGCGAAATAAAAATGTTTGCCTGCGTCAGATAGTTATTCATAAAGATTTAAATAATATAATAAATGTTAATACTGAAGTGGGTTTAAAGATTCAGCGAACCACTGTGTGGGTGCTAAATTTCAATTGATTTGGTTTAAAACGTAAGGTCGTAAGTATAGCGAAGTAGGGGTGCCTACTCGTGTATTATTGTTATTATTGCCGCGTATATCATAAGCACAGATAGCCCCCATTATGCTCAATGTACACTATAAGGCATTTTACCAATATCTTAAAATTTAAGTAAATACAGCATAGTAGGGATCGTTCTTGTTTGAAAGTAATTGAAAATAATAACAACAGTATGTGGAAAAGTATGAAAAAGCCCCGACGTCGCTGTTTTTACGTCTTGAGCTATTGCAGAATTCAACGCTTCATGGTTTACGTTTTCTGTTTGCCATCGAATCAATCGACATTTAGTGTACACGAGAAAGTGAGCGGAACACTATACACTGCCTCTCACTTGAAGAAAAATAGAGAAGCATTTAATTCAATTTAAATTCATTGAAAATGTTATAGTTCATTTGGTTCATTAAAAATGAAATATGCAACATTTGATTTATGCTAAAATAAAATTTATTTTTAAAAGAAAAGGCTTATTGAGGGAAATCTGTACATGATTTTCGAAATTTCATTTATTAAAACAAAAAAAAATACTAAATTACCCCGAATAGACAGACCCTTATTTAAATGGAAAATTGTGATTGTGGAATAGTCTAAAAACTATAGTGTCATAAATGGCAGTTCTCAATATAAAGCGTTGTAACAAAAAGAGTCAATAATTTTGAAAAAAGAATATTTTTTATATTGTTTAGTTTTGAGAGGATTAATGATTTTTATAGAATAGTTTTCAAACATTCTAAAATTGGTATAATGTATTGTTATCTACTACATCTAGTAAATTTTTCTGAAAGAAATACGTAAAATATGAAACACAAATAATGCCATCATTATTTAATATATTGGCCTCTTTTACAAAAAGGACTGCTCAAAAAATAAATATTTTACTTTTTTTATTTCGTTTTGTCTGAAAATAGGAAACTTCTTACTATTTTTGTAAAATACAAACTTTTTATCTCTTAGCTAGTTATTATAGTGAATTTTAAGCTATTCTACTTTTTGCATATGTTAATATTATAGGACAGAGACATATTTTTGCTCTAAAGTTTAATAAGGTATTTTTCTTACATCGAAACTTAACTGATTCTCTTTTACAATCTCACGATTGCACAAATATTCTAAAAAAAGCAAAAATAAAAAAAAATTTAATGGTAATCGAAAAGTAAGTCTTTCGGACTTCAGCCTTATCCAAATTACGCACGTACGCGCACACACACACAAACACACACACATGCACACACACAAACGTTCCATGTTCTATATTTGAAAGCAGAATTTTCTTATGAATTATAGTTGAAAAATTTATTTCTGAATCCATCATATAACTTTCTCTAAGAGGAAACAAGAGAATATTTTAAAATAAAAATATTTTAAATAAATCGTAATTGAGTTTTGATATTCGAATTGTTACGACTTGTTTTAAGAAATTTTTTTACATCATTTTGTGAATATATTTTATCCAAGAATATAACATTTTTTAAACTACCAAATGATTGAAATTTATAACTAACTAACAGCTGTAAAAAAAAATTTTCTGAAATTATCTAAAATTTTTATGTTGTTTTCTAGATTTAGAAGACTTATCTTGTGTATAAGATATGTATGCAATGAATCGTATTTATATCAATCTTTTAAAATTTTATTTACAATAATTATATATAAATTTTTATACTATTTAAAACTCATTGCATTATTATAGTATAGTTTATATTTTCATACCAATTATGGACGATCACTTTTTATTTAAAACTCTCGATGTAACAAAACCCTTTTTAATCATCAACATATTTTTAGGATTGCAAAGTACGCGCAACAATTATTTTAACGCTGCGAAATAATTTTTTAGATGAAAAAATAAATAGGACAGATTGTTAAAGTTCAGTAAATAATATTTGAAGATTAACGTTTAAGATAAAAATAAAAGCGAACGATTAGAGGAGACGAAAATGTCGAAGATAAGAGTTGGCATCATTTTACCTTCAATGATGCTACCGCAGGATGGAGAAGTGACCTCATTATGAAGCGTTTGCAACTGCTGTTGTTGGTATGTGTTATTTGGAGTTCGTATGTGTAAGTCTAAGTCCCATAAATTAGCTGTTTCTGCTTCTGGATTATGCGTAGTTTCAGGAGTAGTAGGTTGATAATGTGTTGGTGAGAGCACACTACTAGTAACTTCAGCGTTTGAAGAGTCAGGTTGTAAAGTAGAGCCAACAATTCGGCCTCCCCAACGTCGTTTAATGCCAGCTACAGGTAGTCTTGGTTGAATAGAGTCTTGCAACATGGTTGTGGATTCAACCATGCGCTGGAGACCAACATTCGTGCTATCTGTTATTCCTGCAACAAGTTGGGAGTTGGACTTGATTAGGTCAACGCCCGTTGAGAGCATTTCAAGCTAAATGCCGTTTGTGCAACTAAGAAATTTCTTAGTTTGTCGAAAGATCTTTGTCTGCTGTCGCGTTATAGTTTTGTGGAAGCCGAATTCGGCCTTGGACTGCGCGCGCCGCTCTCCTTGACCTTGGTGCTCGCACAAAAGGCGGCTACACTCAGTCAAGCGCTGTCCAAGGCGCTGTCAGGGATATATATGTATATGTATATATGTATACATGTATGCATACAGATACATCTAAAGTATGTTTGGATACAATATTTTTATTTTCAGTATTCCTTCATTATGTGAAACGTTTTTGCCACGAATAAAACATATTTTTCACATATTGCTCTCACTTGATCGCTGTTTATAAATATATATATACAGTGTGTATGTATACACACATGCACACACTCTAATGATGAAAATGTTTTTGCACTGCACGATCTTGCACGAGCTGTTACACCAACACTTTTTTAGATATTCTCTCACTTTAGCTGAAAATTATTGATATAGTCTCCTCTCTTGCAAAATTAACTAAGACTACTCAGTCTCATCAGTAGCTACTCTTACTATCTATTTTTTTGCCTGGTCTCCTGCTTCATCCGACGCATTAATCGATTGCGCAGCTCCTCGATCTACTGTCACATACTCAGTAGGGGAAACAATAACATGCCACGGTGGACGGCCAAGTCTTGCGTTCAATACCTATACAGCGAACACTAATGCATGTGAATGCGCGCGCATCCTACTATGAAGATAGGCAGGTTTCACAGAAACAGCGTATGGCAACATTTTAATTGAAAATTTTTTACACAAATTTCATAGTTTGTTATTAGTACAATTTTTTAATCAAACTATAAAATTTAATTATAGAAGAAAATTAACATTTCGTGTTTATTTATTATGTAATTTTTATATTTGATGAAAAAATATTCAAATCACCCGTATTTTTTTGTGCAATTTAAAATATTTCATTTATTGAACCTTACCAACAATTTATAAAAAAATCAAGAAATTACTTCATAGTAAGACTTTCAAATAAGGTAAATAAATAAATTAGTATAATGCAATTTAACCTCATTCACTGCCAAAAATTTATTCACGATCTTCGAATATATTGAAAACCAGATATACTATTATACGAAACTAGTTCTGATGTTAACAGTAAATGTATGCATGTAATGTTTAAGGGCAGACAAAAATGCACGATTTCATGTCGGGATATTAATATTTCACTTAAAATTGATCAATAGTTAATAGTCAACAATTAAATTTTAAAATAAAATTATATTTTTAAATTAAGTATAGAAATATAAATATTTTAAGATCCTATGAAATTAACCAAATTTTGTAAAAACAAAACTTCTAAACCAGAAATTAATGTACTAAAATATGAGAGTAACGATTTTTTTGCTCATTACTTTATTGCGATAAGGAGAAAAATATCTCATCCCTCGCCTACATGGAGAGACCACAGTGAGGCGCTGTGCACTCGAACTCAATTAGAAGCTGTGCCACTTGCACGGCTTGTTTCAGTGCGTGCACGGTTTTTCTCAGCACGGAAGTGGAAACACTGAGAGATCACCACTGCTCCCCGAATTCAGTGAGCAAACCCTCGATAGGGCCAAACTTGCTAAGATTATGTATAATTTGACGTCTCGTAAAAAAAAATTGTCCGATTTTTATAAAATTTCTCTACAGAACTTTTAAAAGAGCTGAGAAACAAATTGTAAATTTAAAAAAATATTAACATTATTTAAAATACCAAAATAAATTATTCAAAATAAGACGTTTGAATGAATGTCATTGTTTTATTCAATCAAAAAAAGTCTGATATGAATTTTCGAAAATGAAAATTTTTACAAATAGCATTATCCAAAAAGGTTTAAGGAAGGCGTGTGTAAAGTTTTAAATCGATTCGTTTGTTCAAACAAAAGTTAAAAACGAAAAAACAATCCCGCTCGAAGTTTGAAATACGTTAGAATGCAACGCATGCTAAGGATTTGGTTTTGTGTTTGTAACTTTTGTTTAAACAAACGAGTCGATTTAAAAGTTTACACATTTTTTTTCTGAGACATTTTTGAATAATTTTATAGTATAAAAATGCCCATTTTCGAAAATTTATAATAAACTTTCCATAGTTGAACGAAAAAACGGCATTCATTCTATTTTTAATAATTTATTTTGGTTGTCTGAATAATGTTAATAATTTTTATAAATATACGATTATGATATGTAACCCGAATATAGCCAATGCAGAGGGGACACCCCTTCACTGTGCTTCCAAAAGATCTACAAAAGATAATTGGTTAGCTAAGATGTTGTTCAAGATCGCCAGGACGTATCTCAGCCGCTCCAAGGCGACGCATAGGATAATTGTGGCAACTTGCCATTGCCCTTGGCTATATTTCGTAGACACAAAAACCTGAGCGAGTTACTGCTTAAAAATGGTGTAATCCGAATTTAACTAATGCAGTTGGATCGACTCCTCTGCACCTTATTTGCAAGATGCATCGTTCTATAAGTGCCCTAATCGAGGTGCTCTTCACAATGAGTGATTTAGAAGACGAGTTGGTGAATATCGATGCTCAGGATAAGGATGGTAACACACCATTACACATAGCTTTGCGCTATAGCAACAAGAAGATAGTCGAGTTGTTGCTGAGAAGAGGAGCTTGGTCCAAATGCAGCCAGCAATGAAGGATCAACTCCTCTTCACATAATAAGCAAGGATCTCCAAGATAATCGTAACTTGGCAAAGTCATTCTTCAAGATAAACAAAGAACTTCATCAGATGGTGTGGGTTGTAATGTCGCCTACAAATAGGCTACGAAAATTCAAACTTTCAAAATCTCCTAAAGCGCCTACCCACACGCAGCCCGCTATACATACAGCGAGACGCGAGCTACTCGGGACTTCCCAAACGGCTCGGAGCGTAGTTAGAGAAATCTAACACCTTTTTTTACGACCGCCATAAAAAATCGACGGTTACTTATTTTCTCTCCCGAAAAATGCCACATTGAACGATCAAACGTACGAATATTCGAGAACGTAGAACACATGGGAAATACTTTTATTTAACATAACTAATATATAAAATGTTCCAAGTAAACTAATAAGTCATAGTTAACCCCGAATCGGTCTCAGATTAAGACCAACACAGTTCGACCTTTACGGGATCTCTTTTCCTTCACAAACGCCTTCCCTCGTCTCTCCCAATAAACAACCAAAGTTACAATAAACAGCCAATGGTAGTGTAAAGTACAACGGGATATCCAAAACAGCAACCAACAGCTAAATATAACATTTACAACAATAATGTAATAAAACCATGAACAGAACAATTAATAACCATCATTTACAACAATATATTAATGTAAGTACAATGTTCGAGAACTTTCGGACGTCGGTTGGGAAATTGGAAAAGGACAGAGAGACGAAATTTCGGTGTTACGCCGCCGTAGATAAAATCCACCAATCTCAACTCTCAAAGAGCAATAAAAATCACAGCCGCCGAAAGGCAGCGTAGACCGAGTCACCTCAAGACACAGTCTACTCTGCCTATTCGAACTATAGCAGTGCAGTCACTTTTAAAATCGTTCTCCGCGAGTGTTAAAGTACAGTGCTCTCTAATCAACTCCAGTTTCCACGCCAGTCTCCATGGCAGTCCAGTTCGCCAAAGTGATGGTTCTCAGCCGACCTTTCGTGTTTCGTCTCCTTGTGGACGTAGCACGAGAAAAGGCTAAAATCGTTATCTAAGGCCATGTGAACCTTCTGTTCACAACCCCAAGTCTCCTCAGGACATTACAGGGTCGACACCATGGACAAGTTAGGCCGGACACCGTTTCAATGTGCCGTGGCGAGATTCTACAAAAAACTGTTGATGTACTCATGAATAATGATGCTGATCTGTCGAATTTTGTTTTTCCAACCGAGAGTTACTTTGGTGAAAATTTAGAAGGTCATAAATCGAATAACTATTGGAATACAGAGATTCAATTGAAATTAAGATGAGCATCTGGGCTTTTTCCCGTCATCGAACGCTTTGAGTAGAAAGGATACGATTTGGACCGAAGCGACGTCATGAAGATCATGAAATTGTATGTGAAACATGAATTATTCCAGAAGTCAGCGGATCTTGACGTATCGTGGCGCGACGACGAGGACTGCGCGACAAAAGCGAAAGAAATAATGATCAAACCGACTCTATCGCTATACGACTTCTTGCATTTACAACCCAAAGAAGCGAAAAAACTGATCACGTTTGAGGAATACTTAAAGATTGTGTATCCGTTTGAGTCTTCTACCTCAGAAGCATTGAGAGGCGTGTGCTTTGCATGTATGCGAGAAACTATCGAAGGGATTTTTTCGAACCTATTAATCGAAAAAAGAAAGCCTTAGAGCACATATTTATCAGCTTTAGCTGAAAATTACTCGTACTATGAGGCCTTCCAGTTTCACTCTCACGACACGTAATCTACTATCCATAGCGTTTAGCCCTCGACTGCAGCTCAATACACTACACGCGGCATGCAATAGCAGGTTCTTGTGTCTAGTATAACGTAATGTCTCAGTGGATTACCATACTTAATTCAGTGTTAATGCTTTTAGACAAATATCACAAACGCGTTGTTGTTCGTTTGAAAAGGTAATTTCGTTTTTACTTGAATTATTTTTAAAGGCAACTTCTTCGGATTTCTTGCCACTTTTATTCATTTTGGTGCATAAAATAAACAGATTCTTTTATTTGAATAAATAGATTCTTTTATTTGACGGAAAGAGAATAAATAAAATTCATTTGTGCGTATACATTTGTGTGTATATGTTACAGGCAAAACCCGATTTTAGGCAAAAGCAGAAATGCCGATGATTTTAGGCCATAACCGAAATGCCGTTCAAATTATAGGAAATTCCTAAACAAATTAGGCAAAACCCGAAATTACTGAAAATTTTTAGGCAAAACAAGTTATGCCTGACCGATTTTAGGCATTTTCGTGTAGCCCCCCCGGGGACGTCGGTTGTTCGTGATATTTTCGACATAAACACTACGTAGTATTATTTTATTGATTATATCTTCAGTGTATCTTCTGTGTATCTAAAGCAGAGCCTCGGCTATCCCAAAAAGCTGAAACTGTGCCTCAGCTGCCCCCAGAAGTTGAAACTGAGCCTTCACAGACTAATGCTCCAAAACCAGTAACTTCTACTTCAAGAATATTGAAATTTTCGGGCTGTTCTAAGGTTCTTATGGGACGGCGGTATTGAATTTACAGAGGGCTCTGATCATCGTTTAATCCCTAATAGGTACCATAACACAATCACCGACCATTAAGGGCTATTGTTTATTGTCTGAACGTGTTTTCAATCGATTAGCCTAATGGTCCAAAGCTTCAGCGGCCCGTTTTTCTGGCTTTCAATATTCTTGAAGTAGAAGTTACTGGTTTTGGAGCATTAGTCTGTGAAGGCTCAGTTTTAACTTCTGGAGGCAGCTGAGGCACAGTTTCAGCTTCTTGGGATAGCCGAGGCTCTGCTTTAGATACACAGAAAATACTCTGGAGATATAATGAATAAAATAATACTACGCAGTGTTTAAGTCGATAATATCACGACCGACCGACATCTCCGAGGGGGCTACACGAAAATGCCTAAAATCAGTTAG